TCTCAAAAAACAAAGTTGGAAGGAAACTAGTGGACAATTTCAAGCTCTCTAAAATAAAACTGTAAATGAGTACAGCTATTTAATACTGAGACTTCACTTCTACTGAATTAAAAGCAAACTGCAAGTTCATAGTTGTCAAGTTTTAAACATCATAATCCCCAGTCATATTCCAGATCATTGCACAATTTAAGACCTGCTTGATTTTAATTACTTAAGTTTTCAAGCCAGCCAGTAAGTTACCATTCTGTATGTCCGTGTCTGGCTGCTTTATGAGGAGTGGAACAAAGCAGGTTGATTGCATAATTCTTGACATAACTCTCCAGAAGACTGACCACATTGGGCTCAGCAGGTAAATGGACCAACTGAAAGATAATAACACCAACAGTCATACAGGAATTTCATCTGCAAAACACTCGATCAAGATTGGACAAATATATTACTATAGCCACACAATAAACCCTAGAGAACAAAAAAGATTACCTGTGAGAAATGAGCCCTAATCTGATGCCCTGGATTATAAAAAAAGCTGACCCATCTTTAATGTTAAACCTGCAAAAACACCAGTTTACCTTTTTCTTTCTATTTATGAAATGAAAGTCATTTTCAAGTTGGCTCTTCAGTGGATCTGGTATTTCAAGTTCCACTTCTGTTACTGCAATCTCCTAAAATGATAAACTTTAACAATAAATAAATGTTATTAATTCACAAGAAACACTATACCAATTTGCTCATATCTACGCATGTTACGCAAAAATAACTGGCTGGCAGACAAAAAAAAAAAAAAAAATTAATTTTTTTCTTTTAACTGATATTAGCAGAGTTTCCAATTTTTCAATGACTGCAGTTTTGCTGGGCTGTAGGGTCACGAAGCTGGGCTGTAGGGTCACGAAGCTGGGCTGTAGGGTCACGAAGCTGGGCTGTAGGGTCACGAAGCAACGATAAATTGTTGAACACCTTTGAAATATTTGAACAGTACTCTTGTTGTGTGTATATGTCTGAGAAAAGGAAACTAATGTGCCTACCATTACAGATACCACACTGTGTTATAACAAGTTAGCCATAGAGATCACATACCTCAGGCTGAGGATTGTCTTCAGTCTCTCCTCCCTCCACAGTGCTTTCATCTTCACTCTGCTGGGGGAAATATAAGTGATTAGGAAAAGTAAGGTCATATCCATGTTCAAAGATTATGTTTATCATAAGCAAAAGCCAATTTAGACAATGATTAGTGATCCTTCTTATACATTTAATTGCTTTAAAGACATTTCTGATCAAGTGATACTTCCCAATAGAAAACGGGGAAATAATGTACATCAAAGAAAAGTTCCAGTCCAAGGATGAGTTACCCCCGACTCCTGTGTCGAATCCTCCCCCTCCTCTCTTTCCGTATCCTCCTCTTCCTCCCCAGTTGTCTCCTCTTCCTCACCAACATCCTCACATTCATCCTCCTCTGAGGTCTCCTCCTCGCTGTCATACCTGGGACGTCTCTTCAGTACCTGCCTCAGTATCTCGTCAATTCTCTTCTTTCTGACACGGTTCTTGCGACTGAAAATGAAGACATAATGCAGTGATTAAAATATTATTGGAAAGTTGAATTAAAGGTAGTTTACTGGTTTTATATCATGGTCTATGAACATGTAGCACAAGTGAATCTAGAGAAAAATGTTACAGAAAACAATTTTCCCAATTTCCACTTAGTACATACAAGTTCATCCACTTCTTAACCAATTTCATAAAAGAAGAGATGTCAGTACAACACAAAATCCTGTACTTCAAATTCAAGACACACATCTTTAAGTACTTGAAGAACTTTTTACATAACTTTTAAACATCACACCCAGTTCTTACATTTGCCTGGCAATGGCAGCCAGACGCTTCATCAACTTCCTGTTGTCTTCCGTGTTCTTGAGAATAAAGTCTTCTTTTACTACCCTGTCCCAGCTAGAGAATAAGAAAGAGACAGGCAATTGTGGACAACAGTTTAACAAATGTACAAATACAATAACTTAGCAAATACTGAAGATCTTAAACAGATAACAGCTGGAGGAAAAAACTTTACCAGTTACTTTAGATGCAAGTCCTAAGAGGAAAATACAATACATCTGTTACAAACAAAAATTTTATGTATGTTGCTATGAGGAGGATTTTAATACTGAACTGCAGAAAGGAGGCTCTCATGAAGAAGACCCATGTCCCGTATTGAAGAGGGCCATGCAGGAGATGTGTGAAGTAGAATTAAAGAGTGCCATGCAGGATTTGGGGGCACTTACCTGCTATTCCAGCCACTGAAATGCACCAGGTACCCAGGCCCTTTCTGACCATTGCTCCTCTTACGTGTGGTAACTTCTAAAACCTGTCAAATATGTCAACAATTTCATAATTTTAATAATATATATGGATTGTAATATTGGATACAACTTGACTGTATACAAACTAACATGATGGGAAAATATGCACTGATTCTGAGTTCAGCAGAGATATTGCCTCACTATATTCAGCCTTACATACGCTACGTAAGTAAGGTCTCATAAAACTCGGTATTTGCTACTCTCAAGACTTAGACTGGGTTCCTGTCCCTTGATCGATCTGACAGGATCGGTGCATCTCCACGGGGTTTCTCGTTAAATTGTTTCCAGCCCAAGCAGCTTAGACGTCTGGGACGCCCACTCAAGCTGCTACATGATAGTTAATTAATCTTAGCCGCCCAAGTAAATTGCAGTTTTAAGCGAGAATCACTTTATTTGAGAATGAATATCATATGGTTTAAAGTGCGCCGGAGGACACACAGTTTCCTAAGTTTTGAGGAAGTGGTAACACAGGGTGTTATGAAGCCTTACCTGTTCAGCATGCGAGGCTGAAATCTGAGGCAAACACAGAGAACAGCCAGGAGAAAACACATTCCTCAATAAATTAATCAACAAAAAACCCAAGTGAATTTGTAGGTTGGAGAACATGTATGCATTACCTTCGCATCATACAGAACCCTAGCCTTGCTTGGGTCTGGCTCAAAACAAAGGACCTTCTCGTCTTCTTCAAAAGCAAATTTCACACCTCGCATCGACATTCTCTCATTCTTTTTCCAATGAAGCTATAACGACAATAGAATCTTTTGACGGTCTTCGTATTTACTTTGTATTCTGATCAAATTGAATGATCAGTACCAAAAATTAATGGTTATTTGAGAACTTGAGTATGCTTGTTATCTTAAAATATAGCTTTAATAGGAGTATTTCCAGAAATATGAAAAGACTAATGTCGTAAAATGCCGTCATGGGATTCTTAGTTTAAAAATGGCTGCGCCCATAGCATTCGAATCGTCGTGGAAGAAAAAGGCAGAGAGGGAAAATATAAGACAAGCGAGAGAAAAAATACTAGAAAAGGTGAAACGTGCAAATACAATTTATTGGTAATAAGCGATTATATCCCAGAGAAACGTCCACTGTTTCACGTTATACGCACCTTTAAACAAACATCCGTCGACGCCGTTTGATGAACGTCACAAAAACTGGACCAGAGTTCCCCTATTCTCTAACACTCTTATTAACTTTTTTACATTCAATATTGTGCTAGCACAAAAAGGAGATAAATAGAAATGCTAGAGTGTGATTTCTCGGGCTCTCATAAACTTTCAAAAATGAACAGAGGCACTATAGTACCTTATAGAAGAACAAGTTGACCAAGTTTTGTACTGAGTCGTGAAAACAAAGCCCTTTCACATCCAGCGTTATAGCTTAACAATTTAGAAGAAACCTTGCACGTTATAGCTTAACAAAAGCATGTGGTCTTCGAAGCCAGCAATTTACAAAATTTAACTGCAGACTTCATAGTTTCGAAAGTTTCTGCATGCATTATTAATTTTAACATATACTAGTATCTTACACAAATTATGTTCTATACATTTAATTTTTTTTTTCTTAATTGCTGCTATTTTTTCAGGCAAAAAACCAATATGAGAGAGAACAGCTAAAAAAGGAACAGGCCAAGCTTCGTGGTGAGGACACCTGGATGCTTCCAGCATTGAGTGATAGAATAGATCAGGAACAGAAGGTAATAAATATATATCTTTATAATATAGAAAAACTAGTGGTATTTAACATTAAGTAATAGAATAGATCAGGAACAGAAGGTAAGAAATACATATCTTTATAATATAGAAAAACTAGTGGTATTTAACATTAAGTTTTTGTTAATTATGTGTGCCTTTCTAACTATTTTACATAAAGTATTTCAACTTGGTATGTGAAAGTGGTAATAATAAATTTTTAATATAACTGCTTTAAAACACATGCAAGATTTATATAACACCCAAAGTATTCTTCAAGTTGTAGCTCCATATATTCAGATATGAAGGCATTAGCTTTTTTATTGCGTGTACATTGTTGAAATCAATTTCATTATTTCAATGACATTGATGTTCTAGGATTTAGAGAAAGCAAAGTCAAAGAAGACAAAGAAAGAAAAAAAGAAGAAACACAAAAAAGAAAAGAAAAAGAAGAAAAAGAAAAAAGAAGCCAGTGATTCAGACAGTGATTCAGTAATTGAATTTTATTATTTTCCTTTCGGGGTCAAGTGAAAATCGTGTGCCTTGGCTAGCGCTAGCATGTGGTTTTTGGTAATCAAGATAGCTACTTTAAGTCACAAAATAAAAGATACATACAAAATGAGAGCACAGCTGTGTTCAGTGCATGTTTTAAATTACTACCTCCAGTTTCTGTCACAACTCAAGTAAAATCCACAGGCCAAAAAATAATCACAAATTTACACTTTTAAAATGCAAATATCAAGTCATGAACTTGACCATCTTACCTGTCCCCTAGATCTTATTGAAATTTAAAATGAAAGGAAATAATGTAGTGACAATGATTTGACATGTCTACTAGTACTTAGTAGCTTAATATGCAACTTTAGATAATTTCTGATAATTTGAAGTATAAAGGAAGTAATAAAGATGCAAAATATTTTAAATTGATTTTATTTTCAATGCATAAATGAAATTTATGTATTATTTAGGATTCTGATGATGAACCAAAATGGATTGAAAAAACTGCAGCAAGCTCACAGCTGTCTCTAGCTGTAGACAGCAGCACAGTAAAAGGTCCAAGTTTACAGGTACCTGGAGTTATTACCATTGATAATCACTGTAAACATATTGTATAATATGGTGCCAAAAGGGGTTATCAGCATACTGTTAAACTCGACTTTATATTTCAATTTTATAATTGGTTTCCTTTTTTGGTAGTCTTTTTGTATTAGTCTCTTTGGCGAAGAAGTAGAAATCTACCAGATAATGTCAGTGGAAGTTATTTTGCAAGTATGTAAAGAAATATATTCAAATGACATGTGTTTATTTTATATTTTTTTCTTACAGAGAGATAATTGGATGAGTGAAGATTTTTCTTTTATCCCCACCACATCCAGAGAACAGCTGCGAGAGCAGATAAAGAAGGAGAAAGAAGAGCAGATACCTGTTAGTTACCTGGACCAGGTGTGTCACAGACTTACATATGATCTCAAAGCACTTCTTAAATTACATGTATTTATTTTGCTTAGTTGATCAGCTGGTAATTTTGATAGATTTTGTGTAGATGAAAAATTAAAAAATTTTGTTCTTCATCTCATACATTTTTTAAATTAAGTAAAACAATGTCTTATTACTGGGCAGTGTGATTTAGGATATTCAAAGGTCAATTTATCTCTGATGTAAATATACTGTAACTAATTGTCCAAAAGAACTAAAAAGAAATCTAAATTTTTTTCAAAATGAAGGTTGAAATAGAAGTGATATCCTGTCATGTTACATTGTTATCATATTTTGGTGTAGTTTAATGACATTTTCATCCTATTCTTCCCCTGTTCAGCCTGGACAACACAGCCGGGAGTTGAACCCGTACTGGAAAGATGGCGGCACAGGACTGCCAGAGGAGGCACCAGAGAAGACAAAGAAGAAGACAGAATCTGCCGTAACTCCTGTGCTTGGTAAATATGGTCACACACACCCACACCCACCCACACAGACACAAAAGCATGTTGATTTATTGTGTGTTGATTTATTGTTCCTTGTGTGATAGACACCCCTGTGTAAGTTGGTGTTTGTTAAATTTTTGTAGGTGCTGGGGGCGTAGCTTGGCTTAAGAAGGCGTACCAGAGATGTGTAGAGCAGGCAGAGGAGGAGGGAAGACCACTGGAAGAACTGGTGGCAGAGAGATATGGGGTACATAACACATATTGCAGGGGTGGTTCACTTTGAGCCAGCTTTGCTTTAACCCAGCAGCTTCTGAATGTTAACAGACAAACTGATGTTCATATATTTATGATTTAGATTTCATTTACCAGCTTTCACATTTAAACATTTACCCATGGTTAATGTTTTGATCACCTGCTGTTTTGTTGCTTAAGCTTTTTTCTTTCGATATCTTCCTTAAGATCCAGTGTAATTTCATAAGAAGTGGCCAATAGTAAACAATGTCTAATGAAATATGCTTTTTATATTAAAAAATATAAATAATTTTTTTTAGATTCATACATTTTATTTTGTATGTTTCAGTCATTGAAAAAGCTTCAACGTATGATAGCTGAAGCAGAGAAAGAATTAGAAAAAAGTAAAAGAGATGAAGAAAATAATGCAAGAGACAGAGAAACAGACAGGGAGAGAGATACCTACAGAGACAGAGATAGAGACAGATATAGAGATGGAAACAGGGATAGGGATAGAGACAGAGAAAGGGATAGGGATAGAGACAGAGGTGGATATAGAGACAGAGAAAGGGATAGGGAGAGAATTAGGGATAGGGACAGATATAAGGAGAGGAGAAAAAGTAGATCCAGATCTCCTTACAGTAGAGATTCAAGAGAAGCAGGTTCCAGTAGACTGAAAGGACGGTTTATGAAACCTGGAGACTTGAACTCAAGATCAAATGAAAGTGAAAGAAGTTTAGATCGCGACAGAAAAAGGTTTTTAAAACCTGGAGAATCATCATCGGAGTCAAATGACAGAGGAGGATATAGAAAATCTGGTGAATCAAATTGGAGGAAGAGGGAATTCCAGAAACCAGGAGAAGGACCATCAGTTGTTAGTGAAAAAGATGTAAGCAGTAAAGCACCAAGTTGGAAGAAGGAGAAAAATCAAGAATCTAAGAGGGAGAAAAAGAGAAGTCCTTCACCTTCAGGTGAGCATCAGGGGTCGCGAATTGTCGCTTACTCATGTTTTGATCAGTATTTTTAATTGTTTCTGATACGGTTAACTGTGCATAGATATATTACTCAGTATGATTTAAAATTGAAAAAAATCTTTTTGGATCATGACTTAGTAAAGTAAGTTGGTAGTAGAAAATATGCCGCTATATACACTATTCCTTTATTCACATAACTTTACCTATTTCCAGAATCAAGTTCCTCTAGTACATCATCAAGTTCTGAGTCAGAGTCGGAGGAAGAGGTTCCCAAGGAGAAATCACGCTCTCCTCCTCCTCCTGCTCCTCGCATAGAAATCCTCACAGAACAGCAGATGAATGAGTTAGGAGCCAAGTTACTGAAGGCAGAACTCATGGGAAACCAGGTACAATAGAACTGAGGAGGGCATATTAACTCTGACACAATGCTCTTATATTTCATGAAACTGATATATTATATTTCTTGAAAATGGAATTACTCGTTCACAATAGGCATTGTCACATAGATTTTGTTTTATATGGAACAAATATTTTTCAGATTATTATCATAATTATTATATAAGTATGGATTAATATGTGCTTTTTCGTGCATTAGGAGTTGGCTGACCAAATTAAGGAAAAGATGGAGGCATCTCGTGCTGCTAAAGAGCTTCAAGCCAGGAGTGGTCCAGTGAAGTCTAGGGGAGAGGAGGAGGGAGAGGAAGATAATGTAGTTGTATTAACTAGAACAGACAGGTCTGGCATGGTAAGACCTATTGATGAGAGACAACATGAACCTGAAGGCAAAGGAAAGAGGAGGAAGAAACAGAAAGTAAGTCAGAAGTTAAGATTGCACCAAGATATTAGAAATAGATATTGTTTTATATCAGCTAAATTAACAAGCTAAATTGTTTTAAAATAAAATTATAATTAAAATACCACTCAAGAAACCTTGGTTGTCTTGACTCGTCATTTGACATTTCTGTCTTTGATCCTACATATTTTTATTTTTCCAACTAGCTTACTCAAAGGCCTATCCATTACAAAATAACAAACACAGTTATTCAATTTTAGAAAATCTTAGGTGTTAAATCAGAATGCTTTGTTTTAATGGAAATGTTGAATTTTCTCTTCATTTCCAGATGGCCACCCATGATAAATCTGGGGAGAGAGAAAGATATTTTGCAGATGATGACAAGTATGACCTCAAAACACTGGTAAGTCACACTTTATTTACATATTTTACCAGACAAAAATTCAACCTCTTGAGGAAATAACGTGGCATTGTCATACAGTAGCTTGGATCGAGTTGTTTGACTCTGTTTACTCTCTAAAAAAGTATCACTCTCATATCTGCCATTATTGGATTCACAGAGAAGAGCTAACACAGGTTCCACTGTATACTTACACAAGGATTGCTAGTCTTAGAATATTGGAGGTGTAGAAATATGTTTTCAAAGCATCGGTATTATCCTCACACCATCTTTGTATTTTAAAGGTGAAAAGGGAAAAACTGGGCACTGCAGAGGATGACAAGTTGATGTTTGCACGTCTGGCAGGAAGGGTTAGCATCTGATATTATGTTAAATATTTAGAAAATGTGTGTTATATGATATACCACACATCTAGATATCATGTGCGTTATATGATATATTACACATCTAGATATCATGTGTGTTATATGATATATTACACATCTAGATATCATGTGTGTTATATGATATATTACACATCTAGATATCATGTGCGTTATATGATATATTACACATCTAGATATCATGTGTGTTATATGATATATTACACATCTAGATATCATGCTTGTTAAACCCAGACAAAATACTTTATTTTTTGTAATAAAGCAGACTCACTGTTTTACCATGACTTCTGATTTGTCAGTAATTCATAATGTGTAAGTAATAACATGAATGGTAGTCTAGAAGAGTTGTAAGAAGTTTCTGTATTTAAACACTTTCTAATAAAAATTGTTTAAATGTTTTCTTCTAATTTCAGTCCATTGAGCGTACAGATGACGAGTATCAAATTGATGATGTTTTTGTTGGAAGAGCAAACAAGGTGGAGTCAGAAGCCAAAGCCGAGGAGAGGGAGAGAAATATTTCCATTCTTGGTAACTGCTTTTATGTTAATCTTTCTGATATTTAAGTCCATGTTTAAGAACTGAAAATAAGTTTTATTTTGTTTACTTAGCTTAAAATGACAGATTCTGTTAAAAGATGGAGATATTAGATTAAAGGGATAATAACTCTTCGTTTCGGCCAAAAAATGAATTTTCCTGGAGTAAACAACAATTTTCCCATACTTACCAATGGTTAATGAATCCATTTTTACATTCAAAGTTAGTCCCTGGTTTTTTTCTAAAAAGTTTGGTTTTTTGTTAAAATCTCTTAAGAGATTTTAACAGAGTATAGCCATCAATGGAGGTCACGTGGTCTAAAGACAAGCTCAGATATCAGAATAATAGCTATAACAGCTGTTTTTGTGGGAAAACAGAATATATTATATTTTTATGAGTCACTAACAATGTTTTTATTGTGAAATACAGATTTCATACGAAGAGTTATTGTCAAGTTGCCAGTATAAAAGTTGTTGCTAGACCAGATGTTTACTCATTTTTTACAGAGAATCGCCGTCTGGCAGAAACAATGAGCAGGTGCCAGTTCTGCTTTGACAAAGTACCGAAACATCTCATTATAGCAATTGGAATCAAGGTAACACACAGATTTAATTCTATTCAATTCTACATTTGTTTTCTTTTCACAGTTTTGAGTTGCTGATTTTAAAATCTTATTTGGAAGTAAGAATAAAAGTGACAATCAAAGTTGTGAGGTTTTTAGATTAAAAAAAAAACGTCCACAGGACCAGGGTTTTTCTACACCAGAAACAAGGCTACCCTGTCCCTCTTGGAGTATCCCTTTGATTTTTACTGTTATATTTAATGACATGTTAAAATCATTCGTGTTTAAAAATAAAATTCAGCCTTTTCTCCCCACAGGTGTACTTGTGTTTGCCTAATCACCAGTCTCTGACGACAGGTCACTGTCAAATTGTTCCGATGTCACACGTCAGCCAGGCCACAGTTCTGGATGAAGATGTGTGGAGTGAGATACAGGTAAGAATGAAATAGTTATAAACTCTATGTTGTAAGACCACTGTGTTAGATGAAGATGTGTGGAGTGAAATACAGGTAAGAATGAAATAGTTATAAACTCTGTGTTGTTAGACCACTGTGTTAGATGAAGATGTATGAAGTGAGATACAGGTAAGAATGAGATAGTTATAAACTCTATGTTGTTAGACCACCGTGTTAGCTGAAGATGTATGGAGTGAGATACAGGTAAGAATAAAATAGTTATTAACTCTATGTTGTTTGACCACTGTGTTAGATGAAGATGTATGAAGTGAGATACAGGTAAGAATAAAATAGTTATAAACTCTATGTTGTTAGACCACTGTGTTAGATGAAGATGTATGAAGTGAGATACAGGTAAGAATAAAATAGTTATAAACTCTATGTTGTTAGACCACTGTGTTAGATGAAGATGTATGAAGTGAGATACAGGTAAGAATAAAATAGTTATAAACTCTATGTTGTTAGACCACTGTGTTAGATGAAGATGTATGAAGTGAGATACAGGTAAGAATAAAATAGTTATAAACTCTATGTTGTTAGACCACTGTGTTAGATGAAGATGTATGAAGTGAGATACAGGTAAGAATAAAATAGTTATAAACTCTATGTTGTTAGACCACTGTGTTAGATGAAGATGTATGAAGTGAGATACAGGTAAGAATAAAATAGTTATAAACTCTATGTTGTTAGACCACTGTGTTAGATGAAGATGTATGAAGTGAGATACAGGTAAGAATAAAATAGTTATAAACTCTATGTTGTTAGACCACTGTGTTAGATGAAGATGTATGAAGTGAGATACAGGTAAGAATAAAATAGTTATAAACTCTATGTTGTTAGACCACTGTGTTAGATGAAGATGTATGAAGTGAGATACAGGTAAGAATAAAATAGTTATAAACTCTATGTTGTTAGACCACTGTGTTAGATGAAGATGTATGAAGTGAGATACAGGTAAGAATAAAATAGTTATAAACTCTATGTTGTTAGACCACTGTGTTAGATGAAGATGTATGAAGTGAGATACAGGTAAGAATAAAATAGTTATAAACTCTATGTTGTTAGACCACTGTGTTAGATGAAGATGTATGAAGTGAGATACAGGTAAGAATAAAATAGTTATAAACTCTATGTTGTTAGACCACTGTGTTAGATGAAGATGTATGAAGTGAGATACAGGTAAGAATAAAATAGTTATAAACTCTATGTTGTTAGACCACTGTGTTAGATGAAGATGTATGAAGTGAGATACAGGTAAAATGAGATAGTTATAAACTCTTATGTTGTCCAGGAGTTTTGTGTGGGAGGCTGTGACCTGTATGCGGTAGCTGGACAGATATTATTATCCAAATACAGCATTCACCTCTTTATACTTTACAGTCATCAATAAGAAACTAAAGCAACATGGTCTTCTGTACTGCCAGGTTTGACATCTTTCTCCAGTCTGTTGGTCACTTTTCTATTCTGTAGATCTTAGCTCTTTAAAGAAATCTGCATCTGTCTATGGTGAACTTGTAACTTTTAATCATTGAAATATTGTAGTAACTTGTGTGATTATTTGTGTAAAAAGCAGCAAAGATGATTTATTTGTGAACATATTTTACTGTTCTACTTTCTAGATATTTCGTAAAGGTTTGACCAAAATGTTTGAGGATCGTGATGAAGATGCCATGTTTTTGGAGACGTCAATGAACCTGAGGCGGCACCCACACGTGCACATTGACTGCATTCCTCTGCCGAAAGAGACAGGTGATCTGGCGCCAATCTACTTCAAGGTTAGCAAGTGATTGTGAAATGTACTGTGATGAGCTTAGTGTTGGGTTAGTTCACTTTGGATGTGGTGTGTCTTGTCTTGAGTGGCCTCTGGTGACATATGAACTGAGCACAGACACCAGTGGATTTGACTGATGTCAGAACTCTCTATACTTGCCCTGGAATTTTTGTCTTTTGAGTTACTTGACCGGCTTGTGAGCATATTGTATGGGCTAATTGTCACACATTTCAAAGTCTGTTTTACCTTCAAACCAAAGAACACAGCTATTTATTTTTGTAGCATAGCAGGTCAAAAATGACTGTAACAGATGCTTTGCTAAAGTTTATGTCAGACTGTCAGATGCAGTTGAGGCCCTCCTTGTGTAAGTATTATTTTGGTTGGTTTATTTTCACATTTTTTTTATCCATTTCAGAAAGCCATCCAAGAAGTAGGACCAGAATGGGCTCAAAACAAAAAACTTGTGGACCTCAGTCAGAAGGATATAAGACATGCGGTAAGTTCCTATAGAGAGGCAGTTAGTGAGCAGCTGGTTTTGGGGGATCATTTGTAGACTTTAATCACAAAATTGCAACAAAATATGTATCAAAACAGTTCAGGAAAGCATCTGAATTTTTCACATTTATTCACAAATTACTAGTCAATAAGTTTGCTGTTAAAAAGTATTATATATGTATTTTATTTACTTCTGAGTAACTACATAGTAGTAGGGCACATTAACAATAACATAGCCTAATGCTTGCTTCAGATACAACCTAAATAAAACACTAGAATTTTTCTATTTGGTGTGATGTGTATGTTTTTGGTTTTCAAACTCGGTCTTCATCTTCCAGGTTCCAAAGGGGTTCCCATATTTCAGTGTTGATTTTGGCCTGCAGGGTGGCTTCGCTCACGTTATTGAAGATGAACAAACATTTCCATCTTACTTTGGCCAGGTAAAAGTCTATTTCAGATTTAACTTTGGTTGTCTCATCAATTTCGTATTAGAATTTTAAATATAACATACAAACCTTCATTCAACAGTGCAGGTACTTTTTATTTTGATATAGCTGAACAACACTTATAGTTCAAACTTATTTTACTCTATATAATGAACAATTTTGATATAATTTTAACTAAGAGCATTCAGTTTGTCTTCAAAGCTTACGAACACAAGTTATATTCCAGGAAATCATTGGGGGCATGATGGACTTAGAGCCCAGAATGTGGCGCAAACCTTTCAAAGAAAACTTTGAGGATCAGCGCAAGAAAGTTTTGGAGTTCGCAAACTGGTGGAAGCCATATGATTGGACACAAAGATTGAAGAAAAATGACGATGATGATGATGATGATTGACAAAATGAGAAAAGATTTATTGCATTGCCATTTGATTTTACTTAAATGTTATTTGCAATTCTATAAAATTTTCTATTTTTGATGACATTACTTGTAGTAAAATTACTCAACTGGTTTGTTGTAGATCAAAGTCTCCACCTTTTTACACACCAATAGGTGGAATGGATTATTAAAGGAATAGAGCAGTTTTGCTTCCTCCTGTATTTTTTTGAATAATACATATTTGGTCTGTAACATCTAAACAGCAGACACTTTCTGACTGCATTAAGAATGTTTACATACCACCGGATTCATTGCATTTCTAATTGTAAAGTTGTCATGAAAAGCAAGTTTTGTTAGTTACTTAAAATGATCAAAAAGAGAACTTTAATTTTGTATTAAAAATATGGTCAAAAGACATCTGGTTTTATATACAAACAAATACATACATTCCGTGACCAGAATATTGATGAAATGTAACATCAAACAAAAAAAAAAACTGAGAAAAAATGTTTGAAAGTGATTTTTTTCTTACCAAATCTTGCATCTAGACAAGAATGTCACATAGCCAGATTTTCAACAATTTCATTTTTAGATGTTCATTTATTGACACTGAGTACAAGATGAGATTTAATGACATGTAAATGACTGACAAATGGTATTTGAATTTTATAGTACCATAACTGAATTACAGTGAGTTCCCCTTAAACGCAATACCGTGTCAAGTACATATATGTCACAATCTCACACTGAAAGTGATAGTTTTTTTACACAATGTCAATGAAAGCTGGGCTTCTCAACCGGATTTCTACATAGCAGAAATATAGCAGCATTGTACAAATTAATATGTATAACACTTCATGATCTGTATAATGAAACTTCTTGCTGGAGCAGAATATACTTTAAGCACTGTTTAACTGACTTGATGCAAAATAATTGAGTGTATTTCACCTGGACTTGTCTTATACACATTCTCATTTATTTCATGCTTACTAAAATGTATGTCCTTCACCCATCTTGTCAAGTCCATCATTTCATCTTTAATGACCTTCACCTGGCAATGTCAACGACCTTGGACTCAGAATGACCTTCACTTCATGACTTTCAGGTGACCTTGGACTTGGAAGGCATGTCTTGGCATAGCAGCCAGCACCATGGGGTTTCTAATGCCTTGTGTGTGAAATTTCCACAACCAATGGCACTGACCTTCAGGTGACATCTTTTTTCTTCCCATACTGTATGATGACAGGCTTGCCCTTCAGATTGTAACCATTCACTACAGACAAGGCATGGCCAGCAGTTTCAGCACCTAGAAACAGCAATACTTTCATCTTTAAATACTTTCTCACAGCAAAAATCTAATCATCTGTAGTGTGTTTGAGTGAGAGAGAGAGAGAGACTGACTTACTGTCAAATGTAACAAATGCCTGTCCTTTCATCTTCCTGTGTTTAAAGAGTCTGAAGATAATTCTAGGTCCAGCAGGATTCTGGAAGCGAACAAACAGTGCCACTAGGTCCTTCTCCTCCACAGACGGGGGCAAGTTCTTCAAATACAGAGTCTGAAATCAGAGGACCAACATTAAAACTGTATTCACCTCAAAATGACAGTGCCTTTCCTCTTAGTCTAAGACACATCCTTTTCACCTACGCTACTGTATTCTGTTTGTGACATTTAATAATCAACCTTAATTTTAATAAACTAATTAACTTTCTATACATTAAATGTGGTGTGGGTAATGAGGGTTACCTGTGAGGGTTCACCTGGCTCGTAGTTGTTAAATCGAGGCAGAGATCTTATTTCTTCCAGTGTTAAGCAGTTCTGTTTGATATGTTCTTCTGACAATGGTTCTACATATACATCAAGTGTACGCGATGAGGTAAGGGACTGCTGGGTCTCTTGTCCTTCATCTTTAACATCAGATGAACCTTGACCTTGATCTGTCACTTCCTGACCTTGACCTTTGACCTTGTTATTGTCGCAGCTCTCCTCTGCTGCATCACAGGTAACAACAATATTGTCAGACACTCCACGATCCAATTTACTGGAATGTAATTCTTGTTTTTTCATCTCCTCCTTTGTCAGGGGCCCACAGAATTCAAAGTCTGTCTCAGCTTCTTTTGTATTTACGTCTGATCCTTGCCCTAGTAAACCCTCATCAACTCTAGAATACCCTCCTTCCATCCTGGGTTTAACCTGACTGACCTCTTTAATGAGAGAGTGTAGGTTGTTCATGGGATGGTCAGCGGGGTAATCTGTCTTGGTCCAGTTCTTAGTAGTGACCAGGACCTGGGTCAGCTTGGCCTTGTTACTGTCCTGGGAGATGGCCTTCTCCAGGTCCATAGCCTGACGGGACAGCTGGGCAGTGCCTGGAATTGTGGGATTCATATTTAATACTCGGTGAAAGATTTGCATTTATTTTACGGCCATAATGCACCTGACACTGGTATCTCACGTAAACACTTATTAACACTGCCTATATATATATATATATATATATATATATGCAAAATGTACCTTAGTAGGGGTGTATGTATAAAAGACAAGTGTAGGTTTTTTCAAATCAAGTCCACCACTTCAGTACATAAACCTTTTTTTTTCTTATTAAAAGACAAATATTAGGACCTATGTTGAATGCAATCCAAACAAGGCAGCAAAGCTGACAAATGTACAGACAAAAAACAGAAAATAAAGATGCAAAAAAGGTCATTTTGTTAATTTTGATGCAATAATAANACTTATCATGTTATCGGTAAAAGTGCACGGCGACGATGGCGACGACGGCGACGGCGACGACAGACGCAGATGATGGCTATATGTACAGACACATCTGTGTCTGTACATAATAAGGGGTAGAGCTTAAAGCACAAGCCAGTTTTATTATTTGGATAAAATTAGATGGCATCTTACTCACCCCCAAATGTGTCTGGTTTTGAAAGCTCAACCTCTTTCTGGGCAATTTTCTTCTCTATTTCTTGCAGTTTTTTCTCTCTGACTTCTGAGGCCATCCTCAGTTTACTAGAGCCAGTCTGTAAATGACAACAATGAAGATAACTTGACACAATAAAACCTGGAAGTAAAAATTTTCTTCTACAAGAATCAGTAGATTAAGTCTCTTGTCCATGGGTGGTCTTTTCTCCTTCTTTGTAGTTTCTTTTTTCTTTCGATATAGTTTTCAGTTCCTTAAAAGTATGTATTAGTACTAGGATGCTGAAAATCATCTGGCTTCTCCTATGTAAATATAATTACAGAACCAAACCCAATCTGTGGCCTTTCACAATTCTTCAGTTTGATCAGTCCCAAATCACTTTGCAGCTTCCTTTTTACCTCATCCATAAGTTTATTATCCTAGCTGAATATCACCATGGAACCTTCACATACTTTTCATAATATTCTACTTTTAAATATTTCATTTTATAAAGTTAAAATTACTTGTTAAGTTCAATCTAGTTAAATATCAGCATCTTCACATACTAGAAATTATATTTTATACTTAAAATATTTCATTTCTAAGTGATAACTACCTGTAAGGTCCCTGTATCAGCCTGTATCTTCAGCAGCACCTCTTCCTCACTCAGTCCATACTGTCTCAATATCTGGGCCCTTGTCTCCCTCTCTGTGATGGTCCTGTACTGGTCAAGACTTAACTGACCGCTGGTCACTCCAGACTCTGGTCGGAATACAGTCGCCTCTGAGAAAACCTTCTTCTGGCGCATCTGACTGTGAAATGTTATTGACCTCAACATCTTTGTGTAAATTGTGACTTTATGACTCACAAAAATCTTGTCAACAAGTTTATTACAGTCTTCAATTTTGACCAGCATGTTCTACAGTTTAGACCCTAGACTTTCTCCAATTCCTTTTAAACAGACTCCAAAGTAGACCAAAGTGAAGAATGACAACGTGGACCTTTTCCTGACTAAAAAGTGTGGTTAGCCCTAACCCCTCCCCCCCCCCCCACCACATTGCATGAATTTCTGTGCTACATCCCTATAACCCTTGTGCTACACTATAAAAGTCTCTCTAGACCATAACTTCTAGTTTATCACCATACCAAGTTAGCCATTTACAAACCAAACACATACTCTGCCAAAGTGACATCAGTTTTCAGCTGCTTTTCCAACAGTCTCTTGAGTTGCCTCTCTCCCTCAGTCTCAATATCTTCTGCAGGCATGTCCAGTCTGGCGTACTTGGAAAGTGGCGGTCTGCTGGCGTCCGGACCCATTTTGACCACTGCCCCGCTCTGGTACCGTCTGGGATTACCACTGAACAGAACAGATACAGCAGCTACGGTCAGGAATTCTAAGACGTTTGGCAAAATTGTATTGAAAGTTGAAATTCCCTCAAAGCGGCACAATATTATCAAGGCGAATGTCTAGCCCTTGAAAAATAGGGATCCACAAAATATCTCACGGGCACTCAGGACATACATGTATCTTTAGACTTTTACTGCCATGTGTTTATAATCGTCTCCATGAAAAAGGACATTTTTAACATGGACTATGAATCTTCGCGGATAATAAAACCTAAAATGACAGTGAGTTAAAGAACTGAAGCATTACCATGGAATTCCAGTCCTGCTGTACGAGTTCGGGTCCTCCCTGAGAGGTCGACCATTCACTGACCCGCCTGGCATTCTGGCTAGATAATGATGTGCAGTGTACCACCTAACTAAACTGTTATGGGTCCACTGTCACTGTCAGCTTCCATTCTGACAGTCGGTGTGACGTCACAAGATGGCCGCCACGACCGGAGCTGGGTAAAAACAAATCGGCTAGGTCCATTACTCCCAATGTTAAAATGATGAATTTTGATTGTCTGTATCTCTCACGCTGGTAGATAGTTAAACTTGACAACTGTTTAATTATATCAGCATAGGTATTCAGTGTCAGGAAATTGCCAGCAACGACCTTTTCTAGTATTGATGCCGATTTTATCAGCGTTAGAAATCCACCTCTCTAACACTGTAATTATACAGGGGGCCGTAGCGATAGTCCGAAGGTTCAATAGTCCGAAGGTTCATTGGTCCGAATGTTCACTATAGAACCTTCGGACCAATGAACCCTTGATTAAAAAATCGATGAAAATGTTACCACTTTTCGGACCAATGAACTTTCGGACTATCGAGACGCCCNTTTTTTTTTTTTTTGTAATTTTTTAAAATTTTGGACAGGATTATAAGTTTACATGTTCAATTAATTTTTTAATTATCATACTTTGAAGTGCATAAATAGCAATAATGTGCTATTGGATCACATAACTAATACTTTTTCTTTGTGATGTCGCACACTTTCCACCAGAAGATAGGACACAATCTTGAAGGGATATCAATGAACATATGAACTACTGTAACAGTAGAAGAAATGAGCAGGTGGAGCTGTTTGCTGAGCAAAATCTGTTAACCCCATGCTCAAGTTTACAACTATAATATATATATAAACACAAATTTTTGTCTGTTTTAATTCAAGGTATATTCCTAGTTGTCTCTCTGTAAATAAACTGTTAGTCTGCTACATTAGCCATGTCTTTTCTGTTATAAAATGGGAGCAACATTGCATTTAATGGAACACTACCTATTTGTGTTAGTACAAAGTTAATGAAAATCTTGGGCTTAACTTTAGACATCTTCAGTCTTAAGTATGCAGGAGGTACAAAAGTAATGCCCAGATTAAGAATGAGTTGTTAATGGCCTGGTAAAACTGTCCATCTCTTACTAATAGTAAGCCTTTGGTACTGGTGATAATGAGGTTCAAGTAAATTCTCTTGACTAGGAAAAACTTTTCTTTTAATTTGTTATGAACCCATTTTATTTCACTTTTAATTTTATATATTAAAAATTGTTAATGATATGGTCACACTTTGCCCAAAGGTCTTTATATACTGCATTACACATTCATTCTTTTGGTACTAATAAATAATTTTTCAGTGTTCATTGAGTAAATAATTAAAACGAGTGATGTCATAATTGTGATTTTGGGATGAAAAACAAAAAATGAATTAATTCTCACATTTCTCCTTTATCTGAGCACCCATGATCACCATTTCAGTACCAATTTAATGACATCATTTAGTACTCCAAACCCCTGCAGGAATTTTTCTTAAAAGTCTTAGTTAAGATTTTATCATTGATAAAGCAAAATAATGCTTTTGATTAATGAAATTCTGTAATTAGGGGTTCATAACTCCATAACAAATGCATTTAAAGCAAAACGACTGCACTGGATTGTGGCTCACACATTTGTGGTCAACTCTGCCAATTTTCTGGATAAAATCTTCTTCAGGGATGTAGTTATGCCCAACATCAATTGCTATCTTGCCTCAAATTATAAAGGTGATAAATTGATGAAATCTATGAGTTGCTATGCTTATACATTGCAACTAGTAATATAAATACAGAATTTTTGATATTTTCGAAGTTTTTTTATTGTTTTAAATCAGCACAAAGATAGATGCATTTTTTGATAATTAGATACAGAAAAAACTTCATTTTTGGTATCTGGATGATAATAAAGGGTTACAATATCTTTAAAGACTGGTAGTTATTCATCAGGTCTGACAAAGTTCATAACTAATAAGATTGATTGTCAATACTAAATTTCTTATAATAAAATAAAATAATGACTGTTGGTAGTATATATAATAGGAATTTCCAATTTAATTCTAAAGATAAAATAAAGAAAGTACATATTTTGAGTAAATAAAATGTGTCTATGGATTATATTTCTTAAATTCATACATTTCTTAAAAATGAAATAATACTTATCATAATTTCTAAAAACAAATTAATGACAATAACTATCCCCAAATAAACAATATTTGTAATCTGCATTTGATTTCCATACACAGTATATGCAGCATTCCAATTTAATGGACATACTAGTAAGCTTTGTGTACTGATGCACACCAGTGTTGTTTCACTTTATTTATTATTACTTAATAATCAAGTTAAGTTCTCTTACACATAGCAGACATGAATAAATACACAGATATCTCAGTAATAAACAATAGTACATGTATAAAAATTATGCAACATTAATTACCACCCAACTGATAATTATCATGTAACCAAATAAATGTGTAAATGTATGCATGTGCAGATACAAACTCACATTAAACACTCTACAACATAAAGTTCTAACAATAAAGTTTACCATCAAATATACAAATAAAAATAGATAAATTTCAACACATCAGTTGTGAAATAAATTCATGAAGGTAATATAGATCAGGCCCTTAGCCAGCAGTTTGAAAAGGGGGTTCTTTTTCTGAAAAAGTGACTTTTTACCATGAAACTTTGTGTACCTAGATAAAATTTACCTGGAGGGGACCTTTTCCCCAGCAAAAAGGGTGGTTTGTTCAAACCCTTCAAACTCCCCTGGTTATGGACCTATAGATTAATTTAAAAGTAAAAACTTTTGTTATACCAGCACTTCATGGTTAAATTATCAATTTATGAACTGTCAGAACTATCTAATAGAGAATTTGAACTATCATAACTATAATTATTGATTTTATTTTGAAATTCCAGAACCCATGCAGTGACACATAGGTTTTCAGTCCTCCTTATGATGAAGTGGATGCAGAGGTAAAATAAAATATTTTAGAAATTGTAAACATCCATGGATACACTTAAAGTAATGTGATGTTTTGTAAACATATTCATTGCAGAATAAAACTAGAATAGCACTCAGAGCAGGCTGGTCCTTGCTGAGGTGGCTCTTTTCTTATCATTAATTGATTAATCAATAGATCACCATCAAAATCTAATCAATACTAACTTCTCACTTTTCCTAATTTGTTATCCAAACCCACCCTAACTTCTTAAGTTAGGCTGTTAACTAACAAACTAACATAGGCAAAAACATAACCTGCTTAGTAGAAGTTATCACATATGATAACATACATGAACATCTCAGAATTATATAACACATTTGTATGCCTAAAATAAATAGCCAGTTGTGAAGTATTTAAACAGGAGGCAATGATCTTACATTTTGGCACCAAACTATGTAGGTCTATATATTTTTATTGCAAGATTTTTCTTCACATAAAGTGATGAATAATCCTTTGGGGGAAAAGTAACTTGACCAGGCACCCACATAAATTATATAGTTAGGATGGATAGCCAGGCAACCACATAAATTATATAGTTAGGGTGAATAGCCAGGCCCCCACATAAATTATATAGTGAGGATGGATAGCCAGACCCCCACATAAATTATGTAGTTAGGATGGATAGCCAAGCCACCACATAAATTATATAGTTAGGATAGATAGCCAGGCCGCCACATAAATTATATAGTTGGGATGGATAGCCAGGCCCCCACATAAATTATATAGTTAGGATGGATAGCCAGGCCGCCACATAAATTATATAGTNGTAAGAATGGATAGCCAGGCGGCCACATAAATTATATAGTAAGAATGGATAGCCAGGCCGCCACATAAATTATGTAGTAAGAATGGATAGCCAGGCCGCCACATAAACTATATAGTAAGAATGGATAGCCGAACAATGATGGCAGAGCTGAGGGAGGGGGACCTTACATGGGGACAGGCCCAGCACGTAGCCAGAGACAGGGCCAAATGGAAAGAAGTGACTGTGACCTTATGTCCCACACGGGACGAAGAGCACTGATGATGATGATGATGATAATATCATCATCATGAATATTCCTAGAAAAGTCAAGACTGCCTAGATAGAGGAGTGAGCACATCCTAGATATCCTTGCAAAAAATAAGACTGCCCAGATATTTTTTACAAAACTAGGGACTCTTTAGATATGTTTGTAGAAGTTAGAACTTCAGTGTCATTTTATTGTAGAGGTTGGGAGATTATGGAGAAATCCTTGGAGATGACTATGGAGACATTCTAAGACTTTGGTGAAAACAGCCAAGAGGTAGGACATAAGTACATACATGGAAATTAAACTATCTGCAAACATTTTTCAAGTTTTGTTAGTATTGATTAAGCATTATATATATAACTTTTCCAATATTTATGTGGAGTAAATTGGGACTGAGTATAGATTGAAATAATACTGTTGATCTGCATATATTTTTCATGAAGTTTTGTTAGCATTTTACAATCAGGGTGAGCCAAAAAAAACTCCCATTTCACAGCCTTGCATACATTTTTTTTTTTTTTTTGATAATAGATACATTTTCAGTTTTCACTAATTAAATTCCTAGGTATTTACACAAGTGTCATTTTTCATATGACATATCATCATTATAATTTTGGGGTTAAAAATACAAAATCAGTTTCCCTTTTACCTACGCATAAATATTGTTTCGACCAAATGATAAAAGCTTAAGTTACAATTTTATTGCATTAAATGAAGCAAAATAAAGCCTATGTTCAATGATACAATGTTATTAGGTGCTCTGTACTCCATGGCTAAAACATTTAAACCAAAATAACAACAAAATATTGAAAACCCACACACTTGACATCACCTTTGCCAATTTTCGTGAAAACATCTTGTTCAGCGATGGAGTTGTGCCACATACAGATCATAAGCCCTTCCAGTACCCTAGAGGATACTGTATATAACTTGTACAATTTGAACATTTTCTAGTGCCTCTATGACTGGGTTCCCACAGATTTAGATCTATTCATCTGGATCGACCTAACTCCCTGGGGGTTCACACTAAATTGTTGCCAGATTCCGGGAGCCGAGCGCACACAAAAGTTAATTACCAGATTTTAGTAGGCAAGACAGACATTTAAGTCGGTTAAGCTGACAGCAACCTAGTGAGACTCCCCAGGAGGATAGATTGATCTAAATATCTGTGGGAATGGTCTCTTTGAACTGACCCATGTTCGCAAGTACAGTACAAATTGAATTGTTCACTGTATTAATATCAGGGTGTTTAGAGCCTAGTGCATCGTCTACTTCCTATCTGTTTTTAAAATAAGCTAGAGCCTCTTTATTCACCCATGGCTTGCAGTACTCCAACAACGTTGT